ATCAACCCAGATGATGAAACCAATAAAAGATATTCAAGGGAACCTGATTAGCAAGGAGGAGAAACAAACAAACCATCCGCTGTTCACTTCGAATGACTCTTGAATCGACCATCACCTGCAACTCTCCGAGAAATACCACCACCAACAGTACGCATGGAACTACCTTTCAGTGGACACAAATCCTTCAACGAAAACAGAAATCCTAAATGCGATCAAGCTACTGAAAGCCAGCCGTGAAGGTAGCAGAGTCAAGCGGAATTTCCAAACGCCGAATCACTGAAAACGAACTCGGAGACTGCGGCATATATTCTCACGCCACTATTGCAAAAGGTTTGGAAGGAAGGAAAGGTACGTACTGTATGTAAGAAACGCTGACTACCTTGTCAAGAACTGGCGTGGAATAATGCTGTTGTCCACGCCAGGTAAAATACTTAGCCTTGTCATCCTGGAGAGAACAAAAGATGCACTGGCCAATTGCTTCCACTATCAAATTTTTGTGTAGCGATATTTTAGAACTCTTCTATTCAATGCAGAAATACTCATAATACAAAAACACTTTGATGAACTACACTATTAGTTATAATATCTTTCCATTTATTTCGTCTATTCACTCGTTATATTCTTTTTTTGCTTAACTCATTCCTTTCCACGTAATTCGAAAACATGTACACCTTTACAACAAGTTTCGCGGTAAATGAGACTCCAAATATACTGTAACCACAGAAGACAAGGGCCAGGCAACAGAACGTTTATTACGGAAAATCAACACATATTTAAAGATTTTGATGTACATTATTGTAGGTTAATGTTAGTAGAAAATACAGTCTGTTGATTGGTTGTTTCTCACACAAAGTTAACCTTGCATCTCTTGTGGCTGTGTCAGTTCATCTATATGTCAACTGTATCCGCCTGTCAATCTTGACCTTGTTTTCACATGACTAATATTTGATACACAAACATTGATGTCAATTACTGTCAACCAATTTGGCTAGCAGCCATGTGTCACCACAATACTAATTCTCACATTTCTTTCGCGTTTCACTGACGGTTATCAGTTTGATGAATATATAAAAACTGAGTGCTGAATTCAAAACGATCTGAAAGACTAACTTAAGACGTTGCGAGTAATTATCAGTTGTTTTAAAATCTCATATACTTCCTAGTATCTTTAGTTAGCTTCCGTCCTCACTCTTGTGAAGTCTCATATCCCTTAAATCTCACCTTCTCCACCAGGTCAAATTAAATAATAGTTGTAGTTATGTTGACTTACGTGTATAAACTGCAAATGTACAGCTTTTAAGAATGAAATCGTTGAGATGATACCGAATTTCTTGTTTTCCCTGTAATATCCTGGTGAGTACTTTCCACTATCTGGTTTCATCAAAAGTTCTATAAATAAAATAATAACTCAGAACATAACGGCTTAGTTTCCTGACTTGCTGTTATTAACTTTATCTAACTTCCAGATGAGCTATTTTACTTTTGTTAAAAATTCTTAAGAAGATTTTTTACACTATTTATTCAGCTACCACGGAGTGTTTTACACAAGATGACTATTCGCCTCAAATATTTTTGCTTTCATAAAATTGACATTTTACACTTAAACTGACTAAATATTAATCTTATCATTATTTACCTATGTAAACAACGCACAAATATCAGAAATTCAAGTATTGGTTTGTAGGGATTTGAATGACTGGTTACAGGATATCATCATGAACTGACATCAGTTAGAGAACCATTGGAAAACCTGTGAGTACTGAACAGTTGTTTCTTCCCACTTTTGGACTCTTTAGTAGTATGCACCCATCGCCGGGGTTCGAACCCAGGACCTGATGGTTACAAGGTGAGCTCGTAGACCATTAAGCCACTGGGACCCAATCCAATGGCTAGCCCATTAATTCTCACTTGTAGCGACCGCTAACCAATGTGTTCGGCGGGTATTTGTCAGAAACGTATATCAGAAACACCAATATCATAATTTTTGTTGTGTTCCATTCTCAGACATGAATACTTTGTTGATGAAACTTTTCTTTTGGTTACATAGTTTAGGCTTCCTAATGTGGATTCTAGCAGCCTAAGTAATATGTAACAGCCGAACTCCTGAGGTAAAATTAGGCTTAGGTGGTAGAAAGCAGATGACTTTGTAGGTCTTGTTTACGTCACTTTTGTGTTCTGTATCTACGAGATGAGACAGTATATAAGTATGAATGAGCTTTGTTTTTCCCTTACTTAATCCTGCAGGATGGTGTTTGGGAATCCAATGATAAACATGCCTAATTGTACGGCCTATGTAACTAGCTCCACAGGAGCAGTGCGACTGATAAATACACTTAGAAGAGGCGAAATTTAGTAGTTTATCTTTAACTCTCGAATGGAAAATAAGGGTGTTTTCAAGACACAGCATACTTCAGCAGCACTGAATGCTCTTCTTACTGCATTCCTTAGGCGTTGTGTTAATATCTCACTGATATTATCACAAAGGAACTGAAGTTGTAAGAACAAGGCATTTTCCGGAACTGTTGTTACTTTGACCTGCCTTGACTTTTGATTCATATTCTTATCGATGAATTTTTCTGCATAACCGTTCTCAATAAGCCAGTGTTTGATAATATTATGGTCTTCATTAAGATATTCATTAGAGCAGACTGCTCTTGCTGTGTGGACCAAGCACTTTCTTAAACTGCGTCTGTGTTTCAGAGGCACAAAGCTGAAAAATTGAGTATGCTGACTAGCTGATGTAGGTTTTCTACATAAACTTCTTCTTAATGTATTATTATTGTTTCCTTTCATTCCTAGAGGAACTAGGGCTTCAGCCGCGCGTCTTCATTGCGTTCGGTTCTCTGCTAGAGTCTTCACCTGGCTCCAAATCTGCCCACACGCTTTCATCTCTTCTTCACATGACCTCCTCCAAGTCACCCTTGGACGACAAACTCGCAGCTTCCCTTTTGGGTTCCCCTCGAGGGCTTGTCTAGTGATGTCACTTAATGGTTTCCTCAGAGTATGGCCAATCCACCTCCATTTCTTCCTGCTTATTTGTTGCACAATCGGTTCCCGGTTGGTTCGTTCCCAAAGATCCCTGTTGCTGATCCTTTCTTGCCATCTGATCTTGAGCATTGAGGGAAGACAGCTGTAGGCATCTCTTTTCTAGTCATAGTCGGTGAACTCAGATCAGAGATGGTTTATTTTCTGTATAAACCATCTCAAAGTACTAAGCCATTGTATGGATTACCAGTAATATTTTTAGTGGTATTGAAAATCTTAGCAAATTTTATTTCAGGATTACACTCGAATAGTGATATGATAGTTACAGAGCTCACAAATTACTCTTCGACATCTTCACCAAAAACCCTCGAGTTTCAGTGTTTAAGTGAAGTAATTCTTCATTCACTGGTAAGTATGCTAGTTATTTGTAGCATAAATGTTCATGGCTTATCACTCTAGAAAAACAACTTATATTTTTTTTAATGATATCATTTCTGTTAAACCAAAGCATATCTTGTTTATACTCCAGATGCCAAATTCAATATACAACTAAGGATATAAACAAACACATAAAACAATTATTGATAATATGTTTTGTCAACAGTAGGCATAAGTTAATGAGAATTGTGATTTATTCGTTCAATATATATATATATATATATGCATATGTATATAAACCACTTCATATTAAGATCATGAACAAAAACATGGGCTCATTACAAACCTTTGCAGAAAATAAACAAACAAAAATATCATTAAGTGTAAGCAAATTGTCACGCCATATACAAAAAATAGAATTAATCACATTTATATTCGACAAAAAATCGAATTCTGACTTTTCGCCTCTTCTATAAAAAGCAAATAAACATCATATTAGATGAAGTTGACTTTTGTAAACAGTCATTAAACTGGAGAGGATAAAATGTGAATAATTGTTTATTGTATCGAAACGTCATCTTAAATAAAGTGTGGCATTTTACTGTGAAACGCCATATATCAGGTATATAAGACAACCAGTAATACCTGGTTTTTGAAACTCACATGAACAGCATCATTAGTGTTACCTCGAAGTAAAATACGCAACAAACTGTTCCCTTAGAAGGCACTGAATTCATATATACTTGGTGCAGTAATGAATAAGAATTGAAAATATGACTATATACTAGCCCATTATATTAAAGTCTAATCACAGACGTCCAACGATCTTAAAAGGAATATACTGAAAAAATTGGCAATAAATACAAGAGGAACTGTTAAGAATAAAATTTTAATGACTTGCTAGGAAATTATTAGTACACGGTCTGTAGTCGTGTTTGTAAAAAAATACATTTGGGCTCGTAAGTGATTTTTGATGTAAAATTATGAAGTAACGAATCTTTCATAAATCGTAAGTAGATCAATCTAAGTGGTTAGAAGAATGTTCTACTTTCAAAGGAGGATTTTACAAGATGTTCATAAAGTGAGATAAGAATATCAATTTTTAAAATGCGTGCAGTAAAATGTTATCATACAGTAAGATTACACAAAGTACGACCAATATAAATCACTGTCACTTGTTAGGTACCTCTCGCCTATCTCAATATTTTCACTTCAAAATGAATAAATAAATAAAACTGCAGTTGTTCGAGAATTCTTACTAATGTCCAAACAACTTGAGCAGTTAAATATCCATCTCTGCGTAGTAATTTATGTGTGACTGTTAAAAACAAGTTGTCAAAGGATATGAATGTAAAAGTTGTAGAATCTCTGATCTTGTGTTTTACCTACTGAGTTAATTAATAAGCGTCAAAAGCTGTTTTGAACTGAGCTGAAATATTGCATTCTCATTAACCATTCAGCAGCTTACCCTAATTGGTAATATAGTTACTTCTAGCGATCTAGAGACTTGAGATTTCTTTCCACTCATCATCTAATAAACAAAAATTAATCTCCCATTTTAAACTGATTGAATAGTTTCACCAATATACATCTGTCTGCTTTGTTAGTCATAAATAATCATTTTATTTTCATTTTAGAAAGAATAACAGAACAATACTATGTTCAGAAGGCTTTATCGGATGGTCAATCTAAATAATTCAGTCTGAAATTTCTTTTTGAATATGAATACCAGCAGTCCTATACAAATCCACTTGGATAATGGTTCTTACAAGACAACTACACCATCTGAAATATCTTCAGTTGATTACAACTACATCTTAGGAATTGCTTATGTGTTTGTTCAGACAACTATATGTTCAATTGGATTTATATTGAATCTAGTCAATTTCAGTGTATTTATATGCAGGAAGTTTTCAGCTTCTGCTTATATCCTAATGACGGTATTATCGCTTGCTGATGCAATAACCTTAGGAGTGAGAATACCTCAAGGTTGCATTTTGTGAGTTTGCAGTCATAAACGTAGTCTTTATTATTTTATAATTATGAATAAACATTTTGTCTTTAGCATTTCCAAACTCAGGTAAACATGCTTCATATAGCATGCATATATTCATTTAATCAGCCCAAATGCAAAAAACAAAGAATGAACCCCTAGACAAATTTGCCTGAAGTGCTCAAATTGTACAATAAACACGTAAAGTTGTGAAAATTGTAAAATATGCAATGACGGAAAAGTGTCATGTAACAGCCATATGACACTGATTTAAGTTATAAATGCAAGGCCATCTGATCTCATTGTAGACAATTTACAAATTCATGTCAAAATACGTAAATAACTCAAATAGAGTCAATGAAATTTTCTCAGAATACTCAATTTTTAAGGGATCCAAATGTTACTAATAGGCCTTAAGATTTGCTTTAAATTTAAAAATTTTTTCAGCTTTTGAAATATTGATATCTGAAAATGTAAACCATATCGACAGTTCTTGTTACTAAGCCATTGTCATTGTCTAGAACACCACAGCATTAATGATAACTTTATTGTCAGTTACAGCTTTGGAATCAAGATATGTGGTTTTAATTGGTGAGCGGATTGTCTGGTGTTCACCATAATTTGTATTTCATTTCCTTTCGTGAGAGATTAACTTCATATCCTACTCTCCTAGATGCATTGCTACGATAAGAAATGTACTTTAAGGAAATAAAATGGGCATTTTAAAATACCATTACATTACATCAGGTCTATATAAAACAGTTAACCACTAATATATTGCCATTAACTATAACCAAGTCAAAGACGACATTCAATTTCAGGTGGAATATTTCAAACGGTACCCTAAAGAACTTATTTTGAAAACATTATCTATTAAGAAAATTTACCATAGAAAAAACGGTTAATAAATGTTTGTCTCTTATAAGAAAAGTAAATATAATTGTTTTAATGTGGAATGGAAGTTTATTTGAATTCGTTATCAACTGAGTCAATTTACGTTTATTGAAATTACGCGGAACCAATCAAACATAACACTCCGTCATATTATTTTGGATCCAAGTTAATTATCTATGACACATTATGCGAAAACTAATGAAGTCTCGATGGCAACCAAACTAAATGGATAAACCAGTTGAATATACAACTAATCGAATTGATATCCACGTGCACAATAAAACTACCAAACATTTCGAACACAATTTACTGTTCATAATCATTTCAATTATAACTATACAACTTTGAAACTTTCGTTTCATAGTTTTCTGTATATCTTTCTACTACTACCACAATGTGTAATTTTAACACATATGTTATTAAGACTACAAAACGCTTTATGAAAGACTTGAAACTTATTTACCCACTACAAACTATCAGATCCAAATAAAGTTATTTAACAACTTTATAGGTTACATTGGGTATGATTTCGGCAAGCTGATAGATTTTCCATGTGAATTGGGCAAAACATTCGCATCATCAACACTAATTGGCGTAAATATTAGCACTAGACTGAGAACAAAAGTAACATGTGTCAAAACGTGATGATTTTTATATAACGCCCTTAAAAAAAACGTGACAAGCGAAAATAATAACAACAGAAAGTAGCTACGAAAACTAACAGCTTATTATTTGTAACTAGTTTGAATGAAGTACTCTAGTGGCGATTACATCTCAGATAATAATAACAATAGTAATAACCAATTGAAGTAATCGTCTGTTTTGCAATAAGTACCCTTTTGTAGTTTTTGCGCCTCCATTTGATATAGCTAAATGCATTTTTTTAATAATAGAAAAGAATCCTCGACAATTTTGACATAGCAAAAAAGCAAATATCTGCATTCTACAGAATAATTGATCCTGATATCATGTGAAATATCATCCGAATACTGTGTGCTGCTTTGTTTTAAGCAAATATAAGGGATGAACGTTTATGCTTGTGTCAGCTACATGTAGCTGTTGTTAGTTCCTCTTTATCCTGTTTAGAAAGAAACACAAATATGCATACACACATAGACATCAAAACAATTCAAAAGATTCTAAGCGCTTATCTATTACAGATTCAGGGGAATACAAATAGCTAGGCAGAAGGCATAAACACCAAGGGAATAGCAATTTTTAGCTTATAAATATTGTTTTCCTGCAGGAACTAATGATTTGATTTATTTCCAACAACTTGAAGATTGATTTTTTGGTATACGGAACCATTAATCTTTAGTTTCGTAGTTATGCTCTTTGGGTTCAATTCGTTCACATCGAAATATTTTTAGTTAGTATTGAAACGAGATAAAAAAGGAAAGTATACCAGACCACCTTAACTTTCCAGGTAAAAGTTTGTACACTGTGACATAGTCTTAGATTGAATACTGAAATAATCAGAGATAAAAAGTGTTTGTGTTTCATGAACACAAATGTGCTGAAAGTGATAACATGCTTGAAAACACTTTTCAGTAGCAAAAGGCGTTTGATAAATTTTCAAAAACTAGTGAACATAGATTTGTCTGTTTTGTTAATAAACTGCAGGCTAAAGGCCAAAAATGTTAACGAGTGTTGAAAAATATATCTACATATAACTACTCAGAACAAAACAGTTAGAACGAACAGATATTTTCAGTAAATTCTTCTTCAGTCTCTACGATTATAAATCCACTAGTTTAAGCATACAATAGGCAATAAAAGCAAATTAGACACATTTCAGAAATGTACTGTGGAACAAGTATAAGATGGGATAGAACAATAGTCATTTAGTCTTTTAATACCCATGGTCAATGAGAACATGAGATAAAATGAGATGAAATAATTCAGTGATGTGTGTGTATGTATATAAATATAGTGAACAAAAGTACAGGTTTCTCGAGTGAGTGTAATCAGTGGTGTGTGAGACAATATGAATATTACATATAACTACCTTTAAAACATTTATGTGGCAGACTGTGGAGAGCGAGACGACAGGAAAATCTTCTACCGATAAGAAAACTTAAGATGATCTGAACTATATGGATGATTTATGTCGAATGTAACACAAAATCAAAGACTTACAAGGGAAATCAATAAACTGATAGAAAAAGAATCAACGAGAGGACTTCAAGTGAACAAAGAGAAGATGGAGATGATGAAGACAAACAACAAACTGTAATTCTTATCAATGGGAGAAACTTGAAAGCGGTTACTTCCTTCACTTATCTAGGAGGCATCGTTTCAACCATCAGTGAAGATGTTAAAATCACAATCGGAAGAGCAAGACAGAGCTTTATTACTCTGAAATCAGTTTTGAAGTCTTCTGCACTCAGCGTAAAAAATAATTTCTTTAAATTTTCAATACTAATGTCAGGTACGTTCTTGTATATGGATCAGAAAATTGAAACGTCATGAAAGACATTTCCAACAGTCTGCAGACTTTTATTAACGGCTACCTTCTCTCCACAGTGAATACCAGACGGCCAAAAAGAACTAGAAACAAGGAACTCTTGGAACGAACCGATCAAAAATCTATTGCTCAAAAATATTCTGTAGAATATGGGGATGGGCTAGATAAACGCTGAGGAAATTGCTGGATGACATCGCGAGCCAGGTCATCGCCCGATTAGAACCTGAATGGCAAGCCACAATTCAGTAGTCCAAAAGTGACATGCAGAAGATCGTAAGAGGAAGAGATGAAAGCCTCAACACAGTCGTGAGGTCAGCTTAAGAGAACTGCAGCGAACAGAACAGAATGGAGATGTACTGTTGAAGCTCTGTGTCTCACTTGGAAAATGATAACGATAAAATATATCTTTAGATTATATAGTTAAACATATACTTTGTAGAAAAAATAAGCAATAGATGAAAGGAAAACCTATGAAAGTTGGATTCACATCAAAGAGGACCATATTTAGAAGAATTAATCATATGAATTAAGAAAACCAACACACACACACACAAAAGCAGCTGTTTAGGGCAAAACTAGTAAAACAAATCAAAAGTACTCTTACAGGTAAACGTGTGAAATTAATTTTTGAAAATAAAATAGTTTAGGATAGTATAATGCACTCAAAATAATACAAATGAAATCTTATTCAAGAATTTTTCTTCACCCTGATGACATCATTTCACCTTTCACAAGTGTACGAGAAACTGTCATGCATTCACAATGTAATTAGTTTTAAAATACTCGAATCAGTCTGATGGTTATACACAAATTAAAATAAGCATCTCATTATAATCATTTGATTTCACATATGTTTATATTATATCCGTATCTCTTAAATAAGTAAGCTGTCGATGGAACAAGGAATAGAATCTTTACCAAACTCAAAGTTTATCCTGTTCTTTCCTAACTATGCCTTTTATATCATGCTAATTGCCAGCTGTACTGTGCAGTGTACATTATTTAATTATCTGAGCTTCTGTTCATTGGTTGAGATGGGTTCACTCTTTTAGCTAACTATAATTACATTAAAATTTCTAGTCTAAACTAAACGCAATCTAGTGGATATTATGTATTTGTTTGAAATTTAATAATTCAGTGAATGTCTGTTTCGATTCTAAGATTTCGAAAAATTATGTATTTCCTATTGAATTATTTTGTATAGTGTATTACTGAGGACTCGTGGCATCTGATATGAAAACTATTTCAGTGAGCTGGCACCAACATTCTCAAAACGAACTCCAAGTATATATTTTTGCATTTGTGTAGCGAAAAACTGACAGCATCACCACCATTTGTTCCCTTTAATCCCTATGTATATATATATATATATTTGACACTAGTGCCAACTGGCACGAAACTCAGGTTCAAGGCTTCCTGCCGATTGCTTCCAACCATCTAGTACTAACAATTTCAAGTGCACAGTGATAGCGAGCTACCTAGAATGGTGGCCACATTGCAAACTTGACCGACAGACTTCATTCTGCACCAAACAAAGTACTAGACAAACTACATTAGTTACTAACTAGTGTCCAATCAAAAACATCCAATATAGTCCCACAGGAGGTTAATCGCTAGCCAGGATAGCTCAGTGGTAACGTCTCTT